ATGTTCTTTTTAAACAGCCTTTTTTTTCTGATGAACGAAAAGCCTAAAGATTTGATTTTCCTCATAGTATAGCAGCTAATTACATGGCTATGTAACGGTGCTTGTCATTGTGATTACTCAGGTTGCTACATAAAGTTGAGGCGCTACACACAGCTGAGCTCTGGTTTCACAAGTGCCTGTCGTGCATCTGCAGAGTGTTAGGACGCAGGCCAGAGGGGTTAAAGCTGTGGGGCAGCAGCATCAATATTGTCATCATCAAGTTGCGTGGTATTTATTGCAATACTTGAAATGCTACTGCAGAGTTAAAATCAGCTCCCTCATTTTCTCTTACTTATTTTTACAGCAAAGTATTTTATGGCCATTCTACCATGTGCCACTTCAACGTTATGTATTCTGTCCCACATCCAGAGGGAGTTCAGAATATTTCCTCCATTGAAAACATATCATTAGAAAGTGCTGCTGAAGCTGTCTGATCGTGTTGGATTGGGTGTTTGCAGACTTTTTTTTTAAATTCCTCTGCGCAGGGGTAGCTTCTCCAGATGTAATAATCCTCCAGGTTTTCATGGCAGGAAGCCACGAACTGCGGCCGTCATCTACGGTTACTATCGGTCTGCATAGCCCCTGATTTAGAGCCAGACTGGACTTGGTTGAAGAGATGAGAGGAGCCGAGACCTGTCAGCATGATTTAAATCTACTGTATGTGTGGCTGTATAAAATGTGGCGTTTCTATGACCTGATGACACTTTAGCTTGAAGTCCTTTGATCTAGACCCACTGCACTGCGCACCATGAAACTGTTATTGTTTATTGCAGCATTTAGTCATTTGAGTTCCACATGTGAAATGTGTCTCATAGCTATTCTTTTAGAGCTTTAATATGGTTTTATTTTTCATTAATCTTATTTTGATACAGATAATAGATGTGCAGTTTCTTATTTGATGACTCAAATATAATGATATTGTAATGATTTCAAACCTAATATTAATTGAGTTGTGAATTCTCACTACTGCACATTTTGCCACTAGTGAACAGCAGATATTTACAGCGTAAAAAGGTTGCAGCAGTGTGTTCATTGGAGCTGTAGGGAGCCTCGGTGCTGCACTGAACTTAATAAATGAGACAGCGTGGCTCCACGTGACTCAAAACAGCCGATCGACTCCTCGGGGAGCAACTAAACAGAGAAGATCCACTTTTATGTGTGTTACAGCAACACGTTGTTGCAGTAAAAACTGTTACCGACACCAGTGTTGATTAGTTGGGCTAGGGACCAATAAATAGCTGCACACGTTTTCTTTTTCRGCACTTCGAAACAGAATCGCAAGAGTTATATTTTGTTTGCCTGTAAATAGCTTTTTACAAGCACTTTGTAATTATTATACAGTAATTGTGTCAAACGGTAAAATAATCTTAAACTTTGTTTGTTTGACCAAGGTGTCAAAAACAAGGTTGTCCAAACCTGTTTTTACAGGTTTCTCTGCTCCAGCACACCTGATTTGAATAAATGGGTGATTAACAGGCTTTTTGAATCAGATGCGCTGCAGCAGGAAAACAAGTAAAACATGCACAAGAAACAAAGTAGGAATATACATATACATATATAATTTTTTGAGACGTTATAWGAGTGTTTGGTATATCTGATTTGAAAAAAAATAATAGTTCCGTTAGAAAGAAAATGCATATTCTCTAACATAAAAAGTTTCATTGTAGATTACAAAAACAACAACAAAAAAACAGGCTGAAGAGAGATGAAGTGAGACATTATTATTTAGTGAGATAGTCTGTCATCTCTTTGGTAAATTACAGTAAAAATTTGCTTTAAAATAAGAATGCATTCTTGAAGGATTTCTGTTTTTCACAGGGATGCATCATGTCCTCTGGGTGGTGCATAAATGTCCTCCATTAGCCAGACAGATGAGGGGGTTCACAGCCTTGCTGTTATCTGCTCCCGTGGAATGTGCCACAACAGCGTGGCTAAAAAAAGAAGGCCTCACAGCGGAAGCGAGGCACACCAAACRGGGCCCGTCAGCCAACTAAATGTCAAGAGATAGTGTGGAGGAAAAAAATGAGCACTTAGCACTCGGGGGCTGCTTTAGGAGAAGTGTCAAAAACCTTTTTAATAACAATAATAATTAGTTTTTTAATGCAGCTTTTGGAGTTGATGGTTGTAAGAATTGTTTTTTACAACTAAAAAAGTCAGTAACTTTTCTTAAAGCAGTAAAGAGACTTACTTAAAAGATGAAACGTTGTATTTCAGTTAAATATTCATGTTGACTAATAATCTCATTGTGTTTACTGAGTTAAACTAAATTAAATTAATCTAACCTTTGAATTCACGCCTTCACATTAAAAGTCACCTGAGCGTCTTGTGCTGAACGACTCGCAGTCRGAACTATTTGGCCCTCGTAGGTCCACGTCACGTATTGTCCAGTCTCAAAAATATGTCTCCGGGGGATGTACCGTAGCAGCGCGAGTGTCACATGTCGACCCACGTTAGATGGCGATGCCTGACGTAAAGGAGCACGCCGGCTGTCATGTGCCGAACCACGTCGACGGGACACTTCAGCAGGAGCAGCTGCGTCACACACAGCTGACTGCAACCCTGGAGTTTAATGTGGAGCCGCTCYGTTATAAAGAAGCAACTACAGGAACAGAAGCAAGATAACCATGGAGCAATTCTACATAATGTAACTGCTGTAAATAATGCAGAATACATTCATTATTGATCCCTTTTTACGGCATTAATTTGCATTTATTTATGAGCCGAGCCTTGGACTGCCCTCGGTGAATTTTTATGAGCACAGTCAGGAGGATGCAGATGTCAACAGCTGTTAGTTCGCTGCAGTGTTGTAGAATTTTCCGCAGGAACAAGTAAAGCAGGGATTTGATTGTTTAATCAGCTACTTGATGCACTTTGGAAATGTCTGGCTAACGGTGCAATCACATTTATATTTAAAGTGTCTTCGGGGTATCCACATTTGCATCCTGTTTGCTCTCTGAAAAACAGCTAAAGCTTTTATTTTCTGCAAAGTTTATAAGAGGGGTAACTAGCTTTTTTTTAACAAAGCATTTTGTATAAAAGCTGAAAGTTTTCACTTCTTTCAAAACAATTATTTATTTTACCTAACTACTTTGTATTCAGTTTTACGTAACAGATTTAGTTTATTTTTACCTGCCTAATTTTACATTTATTTTTGTTCTTTTTGTTAATATTCATTCTAACCTTTAATTTGAACTGATCTCATATTTTTATTGTTTAAAATCATCATAATGTGAGTTTAAAACAGCGAGGAAGATGGAGAACAGGTGTAACACTACATTACTGAACTAAAGGTTGATGCTGTGCGTGCATACACAGGTGTTTTCACTATAGGATATTTAGATGAGCTCGTGCTGTATGGTTTCACTGTCACACAATTCTTAGAGCTAATGATGCACAGTGTAGTGTTTTTTTCACCTTTTTTCTTCAATTATTCATTCATTTTGGGAAGAGAGTTGATCAAGGAAGGATGCTGATGCATTTCTGTTTTCTTGAAAGAAAAGTAAAAACATTAAAATTGACAAATTGATAAAAAAAAATTGTAGGAG